CGCAGAATTAGCGTTGAGGAGCCCCACAAAAGAAATGGTCCGGTGCAATGCACAAACTGCCAAGAGTATGGCCTTACTAAGTCATATTGCACTCTTCGTACAGTGTGCGTAGCTTGTGGTGAGCTTCACCATAGTTCCGAATGCGATAAAAAAGCATTAAAGGATACCAACTCCAAAAAATATAGTAACTGCAGTGGAAATCACACTGCAAACTACAGAGGCTGTCCTATTTATAAAGAACTGAAGCACAGGTTAGCTCTACAGAAAGAAGCGTTGCGTAATCCTACAAGAAGCAACCCCATTAAATTAGTTGAAGTACCCCAACCTTTAACTTCTAAGCCTATTACACCAGGTGTTTCATATGCTAATGGCGTTAAATCTGACAATCAACAAGCGCCTCCAGTTCAAAGTAATAGTTTGGAAATAATGATCTCCACTCTCACCCAGAGCTTAGCTCAGTTCATATCAATAATTCATATCAATAACACAATTTTCTATCAATATTCCTTGAGCACAATGCAAAAAATTTAACTTTATCGGCAGTTTACTGCACGCGTCGCTTCAACATTACTGAGACCCAATTTACGGATCACTTCTTATCTCTAGGTGACAGATTTCTTGCAGCAGGAGATTACAACACCAAGCACACGTATTGCGGTTCCCGGCTCTGTAATCCAAAAGGTAAATAGCTTTACAATTCTATTCTAAATAAAAAATATGCACTAGACGTAATCTCTCGTGGGTAGCCGACATATTGGCCTGCCGATAATAATAAAATACCAGACCTAATAGCCTTCGCTGTAACCAAAGACATGTGCAGAAATTGTATATCAACATACACAAGCTGCGATTTGTCTTCTGACCATTCTCCAGTTACATTTTGTTTACTTGATGCTCCTCTGCTTCGTGACTGTTCCAATACAAGTCCTACAAGTCTTACAAGTCCTAGAACAAACTGGCTCAAATATAAAAAGTACATTAGTTCTCACATACACACAAATTACAAGATAAAGTGTAAATCTCATATTAAGGACGCAACCTCAGTTTTTTAAGCAATAGTTTTTCTTTATTTTTAGCACATTTCAGTTTTTTACTCTTTTCGTACAATGCTTAACTATAACTGACTCGTTTCATACTATATGTCAAAAACTATGTGTCACTCTTAATTTAGCGTTGCCACAGTTCGGCCATCCTGACCCGCAATCGTCCCGATTGAATCTTTTCGATAAGAATTACCAATCCATGGCTTAATATTTGCCGCTTCCCATACCCCCTCATAAGGTATCTGACTAACTTGGAATCCCTCTACATCCTTTACTAAATATCGATCATTAGGTAGAACTTTAGTAATCCTATAGGGTTCTTTATATTTTGGCAAAATCTTTTTACTGGCGCCTACCTCACTCACAAAATTTTTCACTACTACATATTCTCCTACTTCGTATGTTTTCTGAATTCTATGACGATCTTTAAGCGATTTATTGTAGTTTTGATTTTTTACAATTTGATCTGAAGCCTTTTCTTACTTGCTTAAGATCTTTCTGAACGTCACCAGACCTTAACTCGTCTAAATTCTCTTTCAAATAGTCCAAAACCATTCCCTTTTGTCTAATTCCAAATAATAGTTCACTCGGTGTTATTCCAGTACTTCTATGAATCGTATTGTAACGAACCTTTTGGCCGGGGTGTTGCTCGCCGGATTCCAGGTCCAGTCCTACAATAAATTTATTTGTTAGAAACAGTGGAAAGTGTGAATACACGGTGGACGATGACGTTGGTGCGATGATGTGGTTACCTTCCTCGGTGAAGTTAGTTGGTTTGGCGTAGAAATGTTAATTTCAATGCCCCTGACAAAATGTTTGAAGAAATGTGAATTTCTTCTCTATACAATGAATTTGGCGTGGAAATGTTAATTTCGACGCCCCTGACAAAAGGTTTGAAGAAATGTGAATTTCTTCTTTATACAATGGATTTGGTATGGGTGATAATATTCATGTGTTATTATCACCTTAACAAGTAATTTATTAACGAAAATATGATTTCGTTATGAGCAAATGAGTAATAGAAATTTATATTTCTATTACTAACGAAATGTTAATTTCGTTATTAATAATGAATTTTAATAGAAATGTGTGTTTCTATTAAAAATAAAAAGATCAAACAAAATAGAAATCGAGATGTAAATTTCGATTCTTGGTGTTTCAGCATGTGTAATATGGAGCAACCTGTTCTTAGCTCGATGTCTTGCTGAATGCCTGCCTTGCGCTTTTGCTTCGCCTTTTATATACGCGAGGTGCGAAGCAAACAGTAGATTTGTTTTTGTAATTGCAACGGTGCGTTGTTTACAAGTTTTATTATTGTTTTTGATGTTTTTTATTTTATTATTATATATATTTTGTTTTGTATTATTACATTATTGCGTTGTAAAATTTATGAGTGTAAATTTTATGTTACAGTATTATTAAAAGCGTACTCTATATCAGGCATAATTTGATCTAACGAAGCTGTATACCCTGCGTTAGTCATTTTAGCAATCATTGGTGCTAAACTCCGATTTATTCTCTCTACTTGACCATTCGCTTGTAGCGAACCTGTGGCGATTTTTATATGTCGAATATTACAGCAACTAAGAAAATCTTCAAAGTCTTTTGATGTAAATGCACTCCCTCGATCGGGAATAATAATATTTGGTCTACTATACGAATTAAAATATGATTTTAAACACCCTAAAACTTCTCTTGTGCTAGTTGTTCGCGTAGCATACAATTTAACAAACTTAGAAAAAGCATCTACTACCAAGAATACATATTTCTTTTTAGAGTTTTTAATTGTAACTGGACCAAAATGATCAATGTGGATAGTTTCAAAAGGGACTAAGCCCTTTGGAATATTGTGTAAATACCCCTCGTGCTTTCCACACTTTGCTGAAAAAGTTATGCACTTTAGACAATTGGCGATATGATCTTTTATTTTTGTTCTGAGTTTCGGAAACCAATAAGATTTAAGTATAGAATCAGCAACTTTATCGCATCCGAAATGTCCCATATCATCATGATAAAGCTGTAGTATATTCCTCTCCATATTGTTTGGCACATAAAGCAGTATTGTGTTTCCTTTCTTTTTGTAGACCAGCCCATTTCTCATTTCAAAGTAACTACTCTCTTCTTTTCCTAATTTCTTCCTTATCTCATTAATTACTTCATCTTGGTACTGACATATGGATAGATTTTGTTCAAAAGTATTTTCTTCTAGCACTAGTATATTCGTATTTCTACTAAGTGCATCTACGTGCTGCATCTTTTCTTCTTTACGGTGCTCTAAAGAGTAATCAAAATTTTCTTACTCCAGGGCCTATCTAGCTATCCTGGGATTTATTTCTTTTTTGTTTAAGGTTAACGCTAATGAATGACAATCGGTTACAATTTTAAATTTTATTCCATGTAAATATATCCTGAATCTGCTTAGAGCATAAATAATAGCTAATGTTTCTAACTCGAAACTGTGATACTTTGATTCATGTTCAGTTGTTCTTTTTGAAAAATAGAAAATTGGGTGAAGCTTACCATCCCCTGTTTTTGTAACATTATAGCCCCGAAACCATGTGAACTAGCATCACAGTGTAGTTCTGTTTGGTCTCTTGGGTCGTATATCGCAAGAATAGGAGTATCAATTAATTTTTGTTTAAGAGTTTCAAAACATTCTACTTCTTTAAGTCCAAACTGAAAAACTAAGTTCTTGCGAACTAAGTCATATAATGGTTGTGCTAATAATGAAAACTATTGAATAAATCTTCTAAAATATGAACACAATCCAAGAAAACTATGAACTGTTTTAGCGCTATGCGGCACTGGAAAATTAACAACTGATTCTATATTCTTTCCGTCAGGTTGTATCCCTTCTTTAGAAATTATATAGCCTAGATAGTTTATTTTTGATTCCATGAATCTACACTTATCTAAACGCAGCTCTAATTTATTATTTACTAATCTGTCGAAAACTTCTGTCAAAATTTGTAAATGTTCGTCAGCAGATTTCGTGGCGATCATTATATCATCCAAATATATCGCTATTTTTCCTGTTCTGATCAAATCGTCAAAAACTTGGTTCACAAAACGTTGGAAAACCGAAGGTGCATTTCTTAACCCGAAAGGCATTTTTAAAAATTCAAACTGTCCTAATGGAGTTACGAAAGCAGTATATTTAATAGAATCCTCACTCATATGCACGTGATAAAAAGCACTCTTTAAATCTAACAATGAAAATAAAGTTTTCCCCGCCAGTCGATCAAGTAAATCGTCGATTAATGGTAGTGGATAGTTATCTTTCAATATGGCTTTGTTCAAAGTTCTGAAATCTACACAAAGTCGGGTAGCACCTGTTTTCTTTTTAATCAGAACAATAGGAGATGCATATTCTGAATTACTAGGCCTCACAACTTTTTTTCTCATTAACTCGTCAATAATTGACTCTACTTGTTGCTTTTCGTGATATGATAGCCTACGTGGGTGGTATTGGAAGGGTTTATCATCATTTAAAATTAATTTCATTTCGCACTTTATCTTAGGTTCATCTGGACGTTTGCGGTTTACATAATCTTCATACAACATATTAAATTTCTTTCTAGTATTGTAGTCAACATCACTATTATTAACACTAATCTCATGAATTGGTTCATAGTATTCAATATTCATTAAATCGTTAATAGTATTTTCATCACAATCTTTATTTTTTGATTAAAATTAATTAACTGCTCAGTTTGATCATGTTGTATTACTAATTTTAATTTAGCTTTCTTCAAAAAATCTCTTCCTAATAGAACTGGGTAACTCATTGTTTCATTAGCTACTATGAATAATTTAAGATTTATTTTTTTATTATAATATAAAACTGTGCACACTATTTGTCCAAGTATTTGTAAATGACTTTTGTTTATACCACAAAAATTTAAAATGTTACATTTTTTTTGTTTTATTAACTTAACAAGTGGCACGAACTGTTGCCGTATAAAACTGATTGGACTACCAGTGTCAATTAATGATTCTAATAAAAGTGAATGATCAATATTTGAATAATTAAAACTAAATTCTACATTTCTTACGTATTCGTTATCACCCTCAACAGCGTCGGCATAATGAACTTGCGTTTTCCTCATTGAGCAGTCAGCTGCTCGATGTCCCATTTGCGCACAAACGTAACACGCCCTCGGCTCCCGCTTTGGTTTACGACATTCAGCTGCAACATACCCAAGAGAGTTGCAATTATAGAAACGAGTCGATGCAGAAACCACAAAATCGGCTGAGGTTGGTGTTTCATTCGAAGTGCTCTGGCGAACAGTCAATGATTGTTTCAACGTTGCTGGTTTTGGAAGGCTTATTTTGTGGAACGCTTCCAACAGTTGGTACTTGTCACGGAAACATTGTAATTTAGCTTGTGAGCATAGACCATAGTCAGGAATCCCCTCCACAATGTACTCCAGCAGCTCAGTTTCGTCAATGCACAACTTACCCGCGAGAATGGTCTTATCGTAAAAATATTCTTCAAAAGTCTCATTTGTTTGCCACCTTCTGGCTTCAAATGTACGTTTCAGCTGCAGTTTCGTTGAGTGATCTTCAAACAGTTTCCCCATATCGTTTATTAGGTTTTCGATTGGTACTGTCATTAAATCATTTCTTGTTTGTAGCCACTTTAACGCTTTTCCGTTGAGTTTGTTAGAAATAAGTGCTCTGATATTATTATCATCCAGTTTATAAGCCGTTCGAATACTTTGTAATTGTGCTTCCCAAAGCTGAAAGTTGTCACCAGTTCCAAAAAATTCTGACAGCAATTTTTTTATAGTTGAAAACTTAACTTCATTATTTAACGCATAATCTTTTATTTCATTTTGTTGACTTTCTTTTTTTAATGTTTTATTTTCTCTGATTAATATTTCTTTTTCTCGTCTTTCTATGTTTAGCTCTCGTTTCAACACTTTGAGCTCCCATTTCAAAAGTTCATTTTCGTTCTCCTTTAACGAATTTACTTGTACAGCAGAGACACTATATTTGTATTCATAACACTCATTCGACTCATATTCGCTGTCATTTGTTCTGTTATCATTTGTTTCTGTTCGTGTTCTAGTTTGAACGGGATATGGTTATGCGTAATACAGTATGTAAATACCTTGAGCCTATGCCATATCAAGACCATGATGCGTGATATATTATCACATCCTTCTCGAGGTGAACCTGTTTTTCATGTTGGCTATCATGTCGGCATAACAGAACATCATGGATCTAGAGAGGAAAACTCGATAAAACCCGTAATCTCCGGTGTTATTCGACCCGTGCCGATGAGATGAATAGCACTACGTCAGTGTGTTTTTAAACGGAGACCTCCGGATAACTGGCGCCCTCCGGTTGTAATTTAGCCTTATCCGGGTATTGCGGATCTCTGCCCGGATGGACCCTCCCTTCTCCGCAACTCGTGGGTTTAAATATGAATGAACCAATAACTAATAAAAATAAAAATTCTATAGCGGAGAGCTCGGCTAAACAGAGCTCAAAATCTTCGGACACTAAGTGTCCAAACAAGGTACCTACCGCGACTTCCAGTGGTAATAAAAAGGTGCCTCCAAATCATAAACAAAATGTATCGACGCGCTCCGGACCACTAATTCGGTCAGGCCCTCCTGGGAGGAGGAGTTACAAGGAACGCCGAGCGGCGACTAGACTGCTCGAAAGATACGGCAATATTTCGGTTACATCCGAATCTATGAAGGCCAGGATTGCCTGGGCTAAGCAGGTCCTCGATACCTCGAAGGACAAGCAGGAACCTGCTACGAAGCGACAGCGCTCATTAGATGAGTCAGCTTCAAAACCTGATGCCAAAAAGGCAAAATTTCGTGGCAACGCCACAAATGCAAAATCCTTTAGCGACATGCTGAAGGGTTCTTTAATAATGGGAGTCATTGATGAAAATGACCCGGATGGCACAATTACACCTGCTAAGTGGGACTTAATTGAGCTCAAGCTCCTTGACATTTATGTCGATCTCCTGAAGGACTTTCCTGGAGACGGTCCCACTTGTCGCGATAGTGGATGGCATCAGGGCCATGTGAAACTTATCGCCTGCGCAGATCAGCGTTCTGTTGATCTTAGAAAACCGACAGTTAAACACATCAACGTGGAAGATTACCAAGCTGGAGGAAGTCAAGGGTAAATATAGGTCGGTCAGTTTTGTGATTGACAAAGCATCCTTGGCCACTTTGGCGAAATCAAATGGTGTTATTAACTACGGTTTCTCAGCCATCACAATGAGGGTATATAAAAAGGACGAGGAGCAATCCTTACCTAATGACACAGGTCCAGCAGCACCGCAAGGCACTGTTGATACCATAATGGAAGCGGGCGATATTGTAACTGCTACCGCTTACTCAGTGGGCCCAGTAGAAATACTGCCTACCACTTCTGATTCAATAAATATGGACGTGACTATGTCCTCTCCAGCTCCTTCAATTACATCTGAAGAGAGTATTGGTACGCGCTATCTTTTTGACGAAGAAGAACTTTTGAACTCTGAAAATGAATCTGAAGAAGATAGCGCGCTTGACGTTACAGTGGTGGACACTACCACATCCAAAACAAATCATGATGCGGGTACTACAAATTAACCTGCACCACTGCAAGGCTGCGTCCGCCAGCTTGTTGCAATGCCTCAGCAACAACGAGGCTGATATGGTCCTGGTGCAAGAGCCATGGGTTTTCAAGGATCTTGTCTGCGGACTCAGGACTAAAAACTTTGACTTAATGTATGCGGTAAACAAGGGTAAGCCTAGATCCTGCATATTAATAAATAAAATATATAACGCTCTCATGCTTTCGCAGTATAGTGACAAAGACCTAACCGCAGTAAGTATTGAGGGACCTTGGGGCCAGATATGGGCGGTATCTGCATATATGGCTCATGATCACGAAGAGTTACCATCAAGTAGCCTAAAACAGCTGACAATTGACGCTAGGAGACTTGGTGCAGATATCATTTTGGGTTGCGACGCAAATGCGCACCATGAAATATGGGGCAGCTCAAACACGAATGAACGTGGTGAGTTACTTTTCGATTTTATTTTTAGTAATAATCTTTTTATATGTAATGACGGTAATAGGCCGACTTTTGTTACCAAAAACAGGCAGGAGGTTTTAGACATTACCGTGACTACTGCCAAAATTCATGGGTCTATAAGAAAATGGAAAGTGTCCACTAGACACTCTTTTTCAGACCATATGATTTTAGAATTTTCTATAAACTTAAAGAAATCAAGTACCCCCAGTTTAGAAACTTTCAGAAATGTCAGGAATACAAACTGGACAAAGTACAAATCATCTATAAATGAGCTGTTGACAAACACTACTCTTTATCCGTCAGAGAATATAAATGATCTGGACGAGCAGGTAGCAGGTCTTACCTCAATACTTAATGAAGCTT